CCCATTTCTCACCCGATTACCCCAACCGCAAAGTGCTACTGCTGTAACACACTCATTATGACACGATCCCCCACCAGACAGTCATTGGTGAGTCGAATAAAGATCACCAAATGACTAACCCTCCCTGTGATCACCCAAAACCAAAACAGACAGTCAACCCTGAGTGCTCTGGTAAACGACACCACTGCTAAGGATATCCAGCCCGTAACCTGATCGCCCTCCGCAGAGCTGAAGCTGATGACAACGTGACCCCCAAGATCCTGCACGCAATCCACCGACTACAATGACTCCCCGGAGCTTGCACTCCGTCAGAGAATGCTTCCAAAAATAAAAGTGCGTGTCTTTTTGTGGAGTTTGGCATCATTACTCATTAATGCAGATGCAATTTAGAAACCTGTAAAAAGCTTTGAGTTATCCCGTGTCAGGGGACAGCTGTGGCCCTCGCCATTCCTGCAGGGTTTGTCCCAGAACGAGGCCTGTCATTGATCCGTCTTCCAGAGAGTCTCCCATCGCCGATTAGCCGAAATAAATACCGGGGCGCTCCCATGGCAGAAGAGCTGCTACCGAGCTCCCCTCATATCAAATTCTCCCTCTTCCTCCCTGAAATAGCTGCCGCCCCCGGCGCCACCGCCGTGGACTGACATCCTGGTGGTAAAAGCAGGTGCTTTTAATGAGGCGTTAGAACACACCGCTGAATCTATAAGGGGTCTGCCCTTAGGTAAAGGAATATGTACACAGGCTCTGGAGCTCAGACTGACAGCTACACACCCAGAATAGATCTACGGTGGCGAGAGCCGTCTGGGCCCATGAGAGATGGGCTGCTTATTCCTAATCGACTTAAACTGTTTCAACACCATGAAACACAGTGTTGCATCACACCAGGGCTTTTAGTGTGTGTGTGTGTGTGTGTGTGTGTGTGTGTGTGTGTGCCTGACAGCAGGCCAGTCCAAACCTGCCCCAATACCAGCTTCAGCCATGATGTAAACACACACACGCATGTCCAGCCCAAGCCTTTGTGAATGACTGTCTCTCAAGGATCCGTTACAGTCTGATTTAGTTTGTGTGGCAAGTTACAAGTCCTCGTGTAACGCCACACGATCACAATCTACAGCTCACACCATCCCCAGAGGTGCCAGAGATGTAGTCTGTCGGAGCTCCCGGTCACGCACACGATAGCGGCCCGCTATCACCGATACTGCATGAAGACTGCCGCGCTGGAGTAAATACAGGCCGTGTTTCCGGTGTGTTGAAGCTGTGTGCGCCGCATTCTAAAGATAAAGGTTAAAAACCTGCAGTAAGTGACATGACGCTGCCAGAGAGTGAGAATGTCACTCTGTTAAGTCCGTCCAAAGATAACTCTATCTGCAGCAACTGTCCTCTTCATATCGTTAGCATTCGGAGTTGGAGACACTTATCCAAAAAGATAAAGGCCCCCAAATATACACCAGTGTATGACCAAGCCACTCCACAGTCCCCACAGCACCAAAGAGCTGCTTACTAGACAGACAAAGCAAGCATGTGACATTAAATAATCAGCTGTGATGTAACTTTGATTGTCTCTCTGGAGATCGAGCGCGACATCACTCACCTTTTTACAAACACCATTTGAAACTGGCTACTCAAGCACAATACAGCAGAAATTTACAGCTACACTCCCCCTTCTGTCCCTCCCCCCTCCCTCTCTCTGAACTGCTGTGGCGTCTCGGGGTCCTGGCAGGAGGACACGAGAGAGTAAATTCTGCTGCAATAGAATGGCCTGTCGCCGCATGGTGTCAGGGTGAAGTGAAGTCTCCGGGGAGAGTGTGGGCCAACTTGTTGCGCTGCAGAGATTCAAAGGATGACGATCGTGTGTAGAAAAAAAAAAAAAAGGTTGGCACCGCTCAGCACCGCCCTGAGACTGAACGACGACTGTCCATCTGTTTACATGGAACAAAGCCCCACTGTCCCTTTTTACTTTTCTTTTCTACTATTCAGGAATCGATCAGTAGTTTTCAAAGTGGGGCCCAAGGAGACAATGACAATCAGTTCATGATAACCATCAGGTTTTACTGTACAGCATGTTCTTGCCTCATTTGTTCATCAGAATCTTCAAATCAACTTTTTAAAACGACTGCACCTGATTCGTCATGATACTGATTGTTGTGTAAAGTCGTTTCCAGATGTGATTCTATTTTACCTGTGGAGACAGATGTGCAATCCTTAAAACCTCAACCAGTAACCAAACATGTGATGACAGAAGCGGTTCCCGGGGAAACGTCCTAATGGTGAAGAAAATGCTAATTTAACAATGTCTGAGCCCCTTGATTCGTGTCATTCAGTTCATAACACGCTTGTGTTTAAATGGCATCATGGCAAAGCACTGTCACATAGCACTCAATCGGGATGTGTAGCTGGCAGAGAAAGAAGGTGATATGCGTCAACACAGAGATCACGACCTGTGCTTTTGTCTGCATCTACATCTGCAGAACACCCCGAGACCCGCACTGCCTTTGTCCCCTGTGCTTCATTCAAAACAGATGTGGCCGAGCAGCCTCCACTCCAACATGTGCTGCTGCAGTTCTCTCCATCTATGCGGGGTTGTCTGCTGCATGCGTGGATGTGCTTTGCATGAAAAATGCCATTCTTTTGTAATTATGCGATGGAAAAGCCCTGCCAACAAGCTGCTTGGGTCTATAAATCGAGGGAGGGGGGGCTGAGCGGTGAGAGCATGCCTTGGGTGGGTGACGGTGAAAGGGGGGGGGGGGGGGTAGGGGGGGGGCAGGGTCCCTTCCAGCCCCACGGACACAATATACAACACAAAAGGAGTTTAATCCATGCGCATTCACAACAAAGGGACTCCGAGTCGACACCGCGGAGGATTCCCAGGAGCAAGGGCAGGGCAGGGACGCTCCTTACCCGGAGACAGCGCCGACCCTCCGAACGGGGGACCAATATCGCCCAAAACACACCGCGAGAAAACATAAGCTCCACCATATCTGTAGGTGCGTGCCACACAGAGACTGATGCTGTCACGTGGAATGTTACCCCGCCGCTAAACAAACCCGGAGCCAAACACAACGGTCTCATTTCGGTTGTTTTACCGGCGGGAGACATTTGAGGGACACGTTCCCAGAGGCTCCGCGCTTGGACAAAAAAGCACTGCAGGTTCACTCGGACACGAACCCTCCAGTCTGCAACAGCGTGCATAGCAACAAAGTAACAGAAGCCAATAGCCTCGCGCTGACCAGGCGACGGGGAAGAATACAAAAACAGCCCCACACACACATGAAACATACTGACCTTTAAAGAAACTCCAGTGTGTCCCGTGTTCCGCGTCGACCGTAGAGGTAGTTAGGAGCAACTTTTCCCCACCTTTTTCAGCGTCGGCTGCTCCGACTTATTCCGCAGCGGACCTCTAGTCTGTCGGTCTGTTCGCAATCCCCCGCCTCTCTGCACGCGGTCAAGTTCGCTGCAGCAACACACCGCATATCCGCTCACGACCGCCAAATTAAAAGCTTTAGTTGACGCACCCGGTTTGCGTGTTTTGCCGTTTTGGGATTTGGAATTACAGAAGAGCAGCTGAAAATAATGAATGAAATACGAAAAACGTGTATTTATTTTTTTGTTGTTTTTTGGATGCCACTTTGGTCATAACTTTCCCTATATGCCACATAATTTAAGTATATTTAAGGGGGAACTGGAAGCTTTTTATTAATGTGCGTGGAGACACATGACACATGACAGTGTCTTTAAATATAAATCCAAACAATCCCTCTAGATTATCTAGTCGTGGATGCTGGGTAAAATGGCTGAAATGATCAAATTCACTACGATAATTGTTGTCTTAACACACATGAAAGGCAATTTAAAAGGCGCCTACAACGTTGATCATTGTGCAGATTTAAACAGTGCAGGGATTTGATTTTTTTCTACATTGTCTAGAATCTTGTTGAATGCATCCCTAAAGCCTGGTGTCACCCAGAACTATAAATGGTGCTCTAATGTATTTTAAAGTTATTGTCTCCATATGTGATCAAATGTTGCCATTGTAATCTACGTTGTTTCCGTGCGCGCACAGGTTACCTTATTTTGACAATAGTTTGTTTTATTTTGAAGGCAAATTCCAGTAAAATCCGAGTCTCGTCATCGTGTTTCCGTTCAGCTTGGCGCAGTTGTGGTCTTTAACCCAGCCGCTGGTCTGTCGCTCCACCCCACCCGCCTGTCAGCGCTGATAGACGGCGACCAGATCCCCTGCAACTCAAAGTTGGAATAGTTTAACTTTCACCTTCGCTCGAGTCCCTAAAAATATATATATTGTAAGAAGAAGAATGTCTTTACCCTCAGAGTTAAGCCATTGGTTCTCATTACTTGATGGGGTTTTCAATGTCCTAATCTTGAAACCTTTTCACATTGTTCAAATGTGAAGGATAAACATGTGAAGATGCTCCCTCCTCTCCCTAGCCGAGCTCTATCGGGGAATCACAGCGGGGAGTCTCACCATCCAAACAGGGTCATGAATGATTTAGTGCTCCAGGAATACAGTCTGTAGTCTCAGACCACAGAGAGGCTGGAATTAGCCTCGGGCTATATAACTCCAGGTTTACATTATTTCAGAATAATGCATGAGCGTCTGCAGCGCCGTTTAATCACATCTCTTCTCATCGTGTATTAGCATTGTGTAAATGCACACCCTGCTGGTGTAAGGACGGAAGTGGCAGACGTGAGCGTTGTTGATGTCAGTCACTTCCAGTATTTAATTCAATTCAATTTATTTGTGGATAGCCCAAAATCACAAATTACAAATTTGCCTCAGAGGGCTTTACAATATGATTTCTGGGTCAATGTAGCACGCACTGAGGAATATATTTCTTCAATTGACTACATTTACCACCAAGACTGATATGACATCCACATAAGATCACATACATTTCCCCTATAAGTCATCAATAACACCTCAGGTGCTACGTTCATTGTGCGAAAGTTAATAGCATGATAAGCGTTTGAAAAGGTTAATTTCAGCAAAACATTTAATGGTGCCTTTAGTTCAAGGGGACAAATGGTTAATTCAGAAGTTTTCGGTTCAGTAATTTTTTATTTGAAAGCTTTAACTTTACATTCTGTGCAATAATACGATTCAAGGATTCAAGGACTCAAAGGTAATTTATTGTTCTTATGCAACACAGGGCTGTATGGATGTCATTAGGATGCCACTGCACTTGTCAGGAGTGTTACAGGCTAAGTATCAATCATCCACTTTCCTACTGGATACATTAGCTACATTAAAAACAAAACATAATTAATGCTTTCCAAACAAAGTGATCATAAGTGGACTCTTGCCTGCAGCTATCAGGCATGAATTACATTTGTATCTACCCAGTCCCAGTGCTCTTCCTGCCCTGAGCCAAGAGACAAGATGTGGAGGTAAAGGCTTTTAGAGATACGGAAAGCCAATTCGTCAAAAAATAAGGCAGAGCATGCATCACTTGCTTTACAGGTGTACAGAAGTGAGTTGTTCAGATAAAATATTGTGTCGCTCAGTTCTTACTCGACTAAACTGAAGCATCATTTTGTACCAATATGTGGTTGAATACGCTTTTGAACGTCTAAATCAGTTTATTACAGTAATCTGCGCATAACAATGAGGTATAGGCAGAAGGGTTTCTGGTGTTTATGATAAGCACAGTTAAAAAAACAAAGAATCGCTACCTTATCGTAGTGGAGGGGTTTGTGACCCTGGGAGCTGTGTTGTTTAGGGAAATATCTTCTGGTAAGCTTTCCCAAAGCAAAGGTCCCAGGGGAGGGGGCCAAACCAAGAGCGATTCCCTGATCTGATATGAATTGGCCAGAAAAAAGTTGTCGCACCTCGTCCGGAAAAGGGAAACCGGTGCCCCCTTCTGGAGCCAGACCTGTGAGGGGAGCTCGCCGGCAAGCGGCTGGTGGCCCGGACCTATTCGCATGGAGCTCGGCCAGGCCACCAGCCCAAAAAAACTACATGGAGCCGCCTCCCTGTGGGCCCACCACTCGCAGGGGTAGGCATTGCGGTTGAGTGCATTGTGAGCTGGACGGCAAGCAAAGGCGGGGACCTAGAAGTGCTGATACTTGTTTGTGATTATGTACCAAACAGCAGTTCGGCATAGGGCTGTTCATGGTTTACTTGGTATCAGAACAGCCTCAGCCAAAGATCGATTATCAACTTTGTGGTCGAATCATCAGATCTGCTGCTGTATGTCTTGGACACTCGGGGGAAGAGAGTAACAGAGCTGTGAACTGGTCACCAACTGTTGCTGAGTTGGATAAGGTGCCAGGGGAGGCTCTTGGACAGACCTAGTAAACCCACATTTCTAGTGGGGGTGAACTGGGAACGGCTAAGGCTCCTGTCCACAGGATCTTTAGAAATGTTTGTGCATCCCGAGGGAGGCAGGTGACATGGATTCTGAGTGGGCCATGTTCAAAGCCTCCATTGTGGAAGCTGCTGCTCGAAGTTTTGGTGAGAATATCATCGGTGCCAGGACAGAGATTTGCTCTGAGATACTGAAGGCTCTGGACATTGTTGGGCTGTCTAAGCTGACACACCTCTTCTGTGCTGCTTGGCGGTCGGGGACAGTACCTGTGGCATGGCAGTTTAGGGTGGTGGTTCCCATTTATAAAAAAGGGGACCAGAGAGTGTCCTTAAATAATCACAATTGTCAAACCTCAGATCCAGGAAGAGCAATGCGGACTCCGTCCTGGCTGTGGAACAGTGGACCAGCTCTTTACCGTTGCAGGGCTGTTGGAGGGGTCATCGCAGTTTGCCCATCCAGTCTACAAGTGTTCTGTGGACTTGAAGAAGGCTTATGACCTTGTCCGTAGGGAATCCTGTGAGGGGTACTTTGAGAATACGGGGCACCCGGAGATGTTGCTACAAACCCTCCGGTCCTTGTATGACCAAAGTGACAGCTGTGTTCGTATACTCGGCACAAAGTCAAACACAGTTCCAGTGTGTGCTTGCCTCCACCAGGGTTATCACTTGTTCTGTTTGGGATTTTCATGGACAGGATTTCTGGGGGGTGTCCAATTTGGGGACCTCATGGAGGGTTCCTGAGTATTGGTAAAATGGAGTGTGAGATGGACAGGTGGTGCGGTGTGGCATGATGCAGGCATTGTACTGGCCCGTAAGATGAAGAGGGAGCTGAGGAGGAAGGCAAAGCGCCCGATTTACCAGTTCATGTACGTTCTGACCTTCACCTATGGTCATGAGCTTTGGGTAGTGACCGGTAGAATGTGATTGCGGATACAAGCCCAAATGAGCTTCCTTCGTAGGGCGGCTGGGCTCAGCCTTAAAGATAGGGTGAGGTGCTCAGACATCCGGAGGGAGCTCGGAGTAGAACCGCTGCTCTGATCAGGGTGTTTCCTGGACACCTCCTTTTGGAGGTTTTTATGGCACGTCCAACTGGTAAGAGGCACCATGGTAGACCCAGAACACGCTGGAGGAATTATATAGCTCTTCTGGCCCGGGAACGCCTTGTGGTTCCCCAGGAAGAGCTGGAAAGCGTCGCTGGGGCAAGGGACATCTGGAATTCCCTCCTAAGCCTGTTGCCCTTGCGACCCGTCCCCAGATTAGTGGATAGTAAATGCAGGCATAAATGGATGGATGAAAAAACAATTGTGCTAAAACCAAAGGAATCCCCTAAAAGGAGAATCCTTACAAGCAAAGCATAGAGAATAAGGGACAGTGCTCTCCCTTTACTGTACACCACGACAGTAGTGTCTTCTTATGTTTAGGGATACATCAAGGTCTGACACTTTGGCCTCATAACTTAGTAAGTTGCTATCATCAGAGCAACATCACACATTATGTGTTGATTTTACGATGCACTTATGTGGTTTGGTTTCTTGTAGAGCCATAGGCTTGAAAGGCTACACAGTACATGGCATACTTATATACAGTATATACACACTTTGATGTTGGAAGACTGGTGCAGGGTTTCCAGATAAAAGTTCAATATTTTTCAATGAAACTTCTGAGTCTGGAGCTTTGGCCTGTTGTTTGGGTGACTGTGCTTCGTCCTCAGCACCTTTAAGGGAAACCAGAAAAGAAAAGGAATGCAAAGCAATTTACATGTTGTCTTTTTGGAAGTCTTGGACAGCAGTAGCTTGGGAACCGAAGGGTAGTGGTTCAAGTCCGACACGGACCAGGTACCAGGAGTGTGGACCGGGGTCTGGAGAGGTGCCAGTTCACCTCTTGGTCACTGCCGAGATGCCCTCGAGCAAGGCAGAGAACCCCAAAAGGTGTTGTGCTGCGGCGACCCATCATTCTGACATCTCGTCACATTGATGCATGTTCCTGTTTGTGTGTGTGTAAACCAAGAAAAATGGAAGATTTCCCCAAGGGGACAAATAAAGTCCATTATAATTTAACTGGATAACGATTGCAGAAGAATAAATATACAGACTCTGAAGAAGGTGTCTTCTCCTCTCACCTATTGCAGCCTCCTCCCTTGATGCCGGCAGGCTGGTTGTTCTGGATGAGGTTGGACCTGTTGACACTGGTGTTAATGGGAGAGGCTCCCGGCAACTGGCCTGGTCTGATGGGCTTAGCTGGGTCGGACGCAGAGAGATGATATGGGTCACATACAGAGAGCAGGTTCATCATCACATACAGTTCTCATTTCTTTGTTTGAATTTAAAGAAAAGCGACAGAGCCAGACTAGCTGTTTCCCTCGGCTAAGAGGCTAAGATGTTCTCATCCAACTCTAAGCAGGAAAGAAAATTAGCATATTTGCCAACATTTCTTTTGACTGGTTGCAAAAACTTATATATGGAATTTAAGTGTATAGTTTTTCAGAATATTGACGTACATATCACCACATTTTCAGGATTTTCAGTCCTGTGCAAGAAATGTCCCATATATGAGTGTGTATGTGTGTCCACCTACCTATGGACGCTCTCCTGCCCATGTTTTTGGGCTTGGCAGCGTCCTTAATGCGCTCCATCTCCTGCTGGTAGCGCTTTCGGTCGATGGCTGCGTTCTCTTTGGCCTCCCTCAGTGCCGCCTCCAGGGCTTTGACCCGCTCAGCGGTGGCCCGCAGGCGCTTCTCCAGTTTAGGCAGCTCACCTCGAAGGTCGGCGTTGTCCCGCAGCAGCTACAGACGACACAAAGAGGGAGAGGAAAGGGACAGGACACAGAGAGCATGTAGCCTTTAGACACAAAATCTGGTGGGAAGCATTGTGGTAATCGTGTGTTACATATCTTTA